GATGCAATTTTACACCCATTCAATTATCACCCTGTAGCAATGTAATCTGAAATTACAGATGTTTCATATTGCCACAACAAACTGTCAAGAGATTAGGCTAATCATCGGTGAAAACCGATTTCAAATTGGTGAGGAAATTCGTTTTATTCTAATTTTAATTCAGGTTATATTTTGGACAACGACGTTATCAATGTTGACCAGTTTAGTTTGAGCCAGATGGCTGCAACAAGCGATGCACTCAGGCTGCATACTGGGCAAGAAAGTATTTTCAAGAAACTATGGCCATCAAAAGTTCGAGGATATAATATTTGGTAGATTGTCTACCGCATCTGTATCGCTATTCCTGGTATGCACCATGTTTCACAGACATTGGATTGATGGTTTTTACAGCGTACAAATGTATGTACGCTGGTTTTTATTACTCCAAGAAACATATCTGTTTATGAAACGAATACATGAACACATAGAAAAATAATAATAATAATATTACAAGTTGAACTAATGAATTTTACTCAGTGGAAACATTTATAACATATAACATTTCAATTCTGAGTAGATTGTTTGCCAATGTTCGACTCGAATGTATTTGCTATCAAGTAATAATCCAATTGTCTAGTCCCATAACTATGGACTGTATTGACTTCATTGAATGCTAAGTTTGATACTTCAATCCTGACAAAATAAATGAACCAACATATTTTGAGTTTATATAACGAAATGAGATTCAGGAATTTTCTAGGTTTGTATAAAACTGTTGGTTCTAGAAGATTTAGATGAAAACTGCACTTAATTGATTTGCTTATAGTATTATCATTAGTGGTTTGAGGCGTCAAATATTTGTTCTCCCCCGTATAGAAATTGAATATTGTAGATTTGAATATATGAGGCAACACTTTGATCATCTTACAAGAATTATATTCCGGATTTTGAATAAAATGTATATGATTGGATTTATTTCATTTCTCAAATGGTCTATGTGTTAAGTCCACAATAATTTTTCATCGATATAGAGACCAAAAATTTGGTTACCTTTGTATATTTAAAGAATCTATTGTTAAAAGATATTGCATTATTTGAAATATCACATAATCTCTTTGAGATATACATATATGAAGATTTGTTAAAATTAAGAGTCAACTTATGAATTTGCATCCAAGATGATCTGTTCTCCAAATCCCTTTCAATATCCCGTTCGATATCAGTTCATTCTTTTGATACGTAATTCAATGTTGAATCATCTGCAAATGATCTGCTTTCCTTCCAATTTCAGAGATGATATTGAATTTATACAAATTGAAAATGAAATTGGCCCCAAAACAGATCTTTGGGGTACTCCACATGTGATATTCATAATTTAGCTACAAGTATCATTCACTTCAACCATTGTTTTTAACAAACGACTTTCTATTTGTCGAATAATTCATGAACCAATCAGGAATTCTTCCTCTCGAATATAAATCATTAGGAAAATGGTATGATCCATAGTGTCAAATGCCTTATATAGATCTGAGGACAAGAAGCCACATTTTTAATTTTCATCTATCCGTGACTGGATGTCCGAAATTACATCCATCACTGCTATCTCTGTATCCTTTGACCTACGGAATAAAGATTGACCAAATCAAGGATTCATAATTTTTTCTATAATTTTAGAAAGAATTGGAAGGACAAACATTGGCTTGTAATTATTCAAATCGTTTTTTTTTTCTCAGCAGATTTATGATTTGGCAATACCTTTGCAATTTTCGTTTTTGTCAGGAATGATACCAGTTTCAGAAATTTTTGAAATGATTTTCAACAAGATAGGTGCTAATTCAGATTGGATTACTGACACTAATATAATCAAATTCACAAGATTTTCGTACATCAAGACTATCGATAAGATTTTCAATTTCTGAAATATTTGGATCATCTTGAAGTGATTTTTGAAGATAAATTTGGACCTACATCAACAAAATGTTTATCAATTTCATGACACACTGCATGATACTCGTCAATTTCAACATCATTCATGATAGGTTTGATGTTGTCTTTCTGATTTTTTTTGATTTATTGTATCGGAGGGAATTTATTCCATTCCAAACTGTCTTTGCAGTGCTATTGAGAAAATGATCATTATTGAATTTCTTCTTTTTTTCTCTCATTTTTTTTTCACTAATTTATTTTAGTGATTGTATGACTCTTTAAAATAATTCACATTTGGGTGTTTCCTTTTCTTTGTGTGGAAATTACCACGTAACTTGATTAATTTGCTCAGACTATTATCAAACCATGGTTAAGAAGCGCACCTGTGTTTGATATCAAACATTAATGAAAAATATTCAGTAGTTCCTCATAGTTCCTCATAAGCCTCATTAAGGTCATCATAGAAATCGATATTATTGTATTTCCAATTGATTTTTCAATTCTTCTATGTCATATAATCTTATTATTTTGTCAACATATTTGCTATTATTCAACATTCTTTCAGGTACGTGAGTTTAATAAAATTAATCACTCAAAGAATTGTTGATGATAGATACTTCAAGATCTTTCTCTGAATTGGTAATGAAGTGATCGAGTACCTAGTTGATAATTGATCTACATTCATATCACCAAACAAAAAACTTTCACATTTCGATTAATTAAATGCATCGAGAGTTCTATCCATGAAATTGAAACAATTATGGATATTTATATCTTGTGATCTATAAACACCACTAAGTATATTTTCTGGGGATTTGATTTCAATAGCTGAATATGTTACATAGGTTTGTTCCGTTTAAATCATTTCAAAATATAATTTGTGATGAATGAAAATTCCAACACTACCACCTCGTTATCTCTCTGCGATTCGGATAATAACAATAATAAATATATATTGCCGGGGTAGCAATCGGGTGGGACCAATTCCCACCCCTCTCACAAGCGACTCCCATAGGGATGACTGCCGGTCACCTATCTTTCGACTTATACCGACAGCACCCCAGCCCATATAGCACTCGACGTCCTGAGAACGTTCAGTTTAGGTCCGATTTAGGTCTGAACGTTCGGGACCTTTTCAAGACGTACTGAAAACGTCCGTTTCTGATTACGTACGATTACGATGTAATGGGTACGTTCAACTCTGGACTTCATCGACTTTCAAGGGACGAGATTGAATAAAACTGTATATATAATGATAATTGAAATCATCGCACATAATTTATTCTACCCTCGATCTCTGATATCTATTCATTCAGGAACCTCGCAAACATGAACATAATACATTTCTCACAATTCATTTTTACTGGCCGTACCTGATCACAAAACATCTATTTAGGTATTCTCTGCCATGATTATCTGTTTCTATGCAAGTATCGATGAGAATAAGGATCAATCAACATTCGCACACAATGTCTTGTTGTATACTAACATATAATCAAGTCTTCTGTAAAGTAGTAGGTAGAGCATCTGCACGGTAATCTGAAGGTCGTGGGATCGATCCCCGGTAGGAGCACTTTCTATATTTTTTTAGTCAAAATAATTATTTTTTCACCTATCTAGGTCTCTATTTTAACTATCTGAGTAACTATCTGGATTTACGTTGATTCAGGTATTAATGGTCCCGTTCAGACATAAACAGAACCTTCATCGTACGTCCTGGGGACCTCTGGTTGTGTAACATCGTATGTTCCCAAAACGTCCTGAAAACGTACGCTGTACCTGAAATGGCCGTTCTGGGGACGTTTTCAATGTCTTAGGCGTACGGCTTGAGGCGTTACCACCGATACAACGAGGCCAGCAGACTCTGACGTAAACAGCTCGTCACGTCACCAATAGAGGCCAGTGTTTTATTTTATCGCTTGTCGACTAACGCGTCAGTTCGTTTTAATTCATCGGTGATTCACGTATGTTTTTGAAACGGTCCCGAATTTTATTGTTGTTTATTCATCAAAATAATTGGCGGAAAAATTACTGTTTTGTGAAATATTTTGTGTTGTGATCGGCAAAATAACAATGCCTTTCAAGTGTTGTGTTCCCTTTTGTCGGGGGAATTATGTGGGTGGTTCAAAAGGTCATGCTTTTAGTTTCCCGTTGGACGAGGAGCTATCGAAAATGTGGGTATATGCAATTCACCGCGAGGATTTTACTCCATCTAAGTTCAGTAGTAAACATAGCTTAATTTATAATGATGAATCAATAATAGAAGACAATTACTCTCTCATGAAAAGTATAAGTAGAGGAAAAATAGAAAAGCTTTGATTGTGCAGTTAGTTTTGTATTCGTATATTATAGTCAACAAAATCATCTCTGAATTCGAGGAAATTTTCTTGAATGTTCATAATAAACGGGCATTTTTAATTCTCATTCTCCAATTTCTTTCTGAAAACGGTCATTTGCCTCGTGGCAATGAGTGCAGAATTTATTCCAATGATGAAATTGCAACTATAATATTAACATGAACTACAAACACTCTACTTAAAAAGGTAAAAATTTCACCTTCTTTTTCACCTGTCTTCTGGATGGCATTTAGAACAAACACTGCTCACCCGCCGAGGCAGGCAAGATATCCTCCCACTTGACCCATAATGGGATTCTTCTTCACCTCGTCTATCGTAGTCCGGTGGTGCTTTTTGAAAACCGCTGCCCACTGGAGTCCAACCCAATAGGTGAGGCACCAGGCCGTATGTACGATGGGGTGAACAAGATACCTTTTGTGACGTTTCCAAAATATTTTATCGAAAAAATTCTTTCGAAATTTTTTTTTTATTTTGAATTTTCAATTTCAATTTCTTTCGATTAGCTGAAAGCAGATTACTTACAGGTACGCACTGATGATGACTTAACAGTCGAAAGCGCTCTGCTACGAATATTGAACAAATTATTTTGCACGAAACACATCTTCCCTTCTTTGGTTCAAGCTTTTAACCAGTGGTGTCTGGAGTCACCTGGGGCTACCTCTACTCCGACGCCGTGAGTACATGGTGAGCCCACGGCCACTGCGATTTGAATAATAGAAAATATCTGTTTCAGCTTACCTTAGCATCCTCACTATCCAGTTGAGAGCATGTTTCGATATCCTCCAAATAGGATTCTGGCCTAGGCGTATCACTCTCAGAATCGTAATGAGCCAATTGGTAGACTTTCCCATCCCTCTCAACGTTGATGGTCCTCTGGTTGAGCCAGAAATTCAGCTCCTTGTCCAACGTGTCAATGTTGTTGCGCAAAAACTCGAAATCCTTGGTGTACTTGACGTAATCAGCCACCATGAAGGTGAGAAGAGGAGGCTGTGATCTGTTCAGATAGTAAATTCTGCCGCCGTTCGGAATGAAGCCGTATCGCTCCACCATAGAGAGAAGGTTCTGGATCAGTCCCTTGGAGGTCTCAATCATGTCGCTGAGCAGAAGACCTTTGAGGATCCAGTAGGAATCCCAGTAGTAGTACTCCTTGAACCTTCCGCCTAGAATTAGAGTTGCTTAATGTACAGGGTGATCAGTTACGGGAAAAATCTTGGTTTGTTTTAAAAAACAGTTGAACTTCCCCCACCGCTTTATTTCGATAGATAGAACGAAACGTTTCAGACAAAAAATGTAAGAAAATGGTCAGTAAATATGAAAATGATATCATCGATATACTTCCATAAGACAAAATTCTATAAAAATCCCATTTTTCTACTTGGTGTTGGTTGTTACGCCCTCTACCGGACGTTTGACAACCTCGAAAATAATTTCCAGCAAATTCTCTTGGCAACTTTTATCATGACTTTTTTTCCTCAAGTCTATACGACCAATATCTTATGATATATGACCGCTCGCTACCCTAAACTGATCACCCTGTACTTGACACTTCAGTTATTATTTCTTTCTATTAAGTGCATACTTTATATGAATTCTCTGGAACCAACAGTGGATTTATAGAAACCTAGAAAATTTCAAAATATATATTGACTCAAAATATGTTGCTCAATTCATTTTCTCAGGGCTGAATTTAAAATATCAAACTTAGCTTCTAATGAAGTCAATACAGCCCATACTTATGGAATTAGACAATTGAATTACTTGATAGCAAATACATTCAATATCCACACAATCTTCATAAAATGAACAACAATGGAAGATTTCAGGAGAAAAACAACTACCTTCCTGGCTAATACCACGCAGAACATTGAATCACATCCTCCCGAAATCTATGCATCAACTCGTATAAACGAAT